GTACACACCCACTAATCTACTTTCTGTCTCTGTAGATTTGCCTATTCTGGACATTATCTTTTCATTTTTACTTGAAAGTGCCCTTGGGGATTAGAAATTCTTACCTTTGGAATGAGCTCCTAATCCCTAAATGGTGGGACTTCTGTTATAAATCAGAGAGCTGTGAGGGAAATAGAAAGGGAAGGGAAATGATGTTTAACAGTTACTATGTACCAGTATGTATGTGTTATTTTCACAATCACCCTACAAGCCAGGTATCATTTAACAGTTGAAGAAACTGAGGCGTATAGAAATTAAGTAACTTGCCGAAGGTTACAAAGTAAGGGCCAAAATGTAGGACCAAAACCTTGCTTTTCTGTCCAGAGCTCACGTCTTCTGTCCACTAGGTCAGTAGTTAGCTAACTTCCACCGCACGAGGGTCACCTGGAGAGCTAGTCAAACCCAGATTGCTGGGTCCCCCTCCCCAACCTCCCTTAGAGTTTGGATTCCCTGGTTCTGGGGTGGGGGTCTAAGGACTTGCGTTCCTAGATGCTGCAGGTCAGAGCTTGTGCTACCTCCTGCTGCCTGGGGAATCGGCAAATGAGATTCAGATCACAGAGCTCCATGCTGAAGTTGCTTTAGTGTCATCTGGTCATCTTTTCCGAGCAATACTTAGGATCTGTCAAGGCAAGTGCCGTTGATAGCAGGCAGAAAGTAGTTAGAAAGGCAACACAGAGAACCAAAATGCTTCCGAGACATGCTGAAGTGTGATGACATTTTTTTTCTGCTGGGAAATGCGATAAGAAATTAGAGACTCAGCCACGGTGTACAAAGCACCTAGAGGCAGGCCTTTCGGTTACAAGCAAAATGTAACGTTCCTGTCTAGTTCAGAACCCTGGGCACTTTAAGCGAGCAGGCAGGCAGGCAGGCAGGCCGGAGACTGCCACCAGCAGTGTCTTTTCTTTGCCTATCTATCGCTGTAGTTGCACACTCATGCTGACTTCATTCTTACATGTGAACTAGGCCAGAACTTGATCAGGCTGAAAGCTGTATATATAAGAATTATCACAGACATTGAGAAAAGAGCAACTCAGGATCTTATTGAAAACGTTTGATTTTTTTTTTTTCCTTAGGAGGGGGAGGAAGACGGCTGAAAATCACTTACTTAAGAACCCGCAGTGTAATTGCTGTGGGAGGCTCAGACGTGATGTGAACATCCTGAGCTCGGGGATTGGGTGACCAGGCTCCCGAGAGAGGATGACACAGCACGGGCAACAGCACAAACAGCCTGCCTTGCTTTCTAGAGAGCAAAGACGAGCAAGTCCTTGTGGAGGTCACCAGGGCTGGGATACTCTCTGTACTTTCAGTGGAAGGGGTAACTTCTGTGTAGGGAAGCCAGCCCTGGGGGCAGGGAGGGGCCAAAATGCAGCAGAGTGAAAAGGGCTGCCGAGGACAGATAGATGAGGCCTTCCCTTTAGAGAGACAGCTTCTGGTTTTCCAGAGAACTTTTATGTATATTAACACATGCAAATATTATTATTCATCAGGGTGCAGAGACGTGTAATGAGTTAGCTCAGCTAGCGAGTTGGTTCAACTAGTTAACAGACACACACACACTAGGACTAGATGCAGATGGTCACTTTGAATGTCAGGAAAACAAAAGTCATAATCAAAGTAGTAACCACATGAATACAATCTGGGGAAATTTCCTTCCAAAATGGTGGAAGTGAAGCTTACTTGTTGGTACTTTCTTACCTCTTCCATATTCATTTGTTCATTCACTCATTCATTCATGCAGCAGCGTGCATTCAGTGCCTCTTACTTGGCTATCATGAGCCTGGGGAGTACAGAAGTGCGACATGACAGCTCTTCATTCATTCAACAGATACTTATCAAGGCCCTACTATGTGCCAGAATCTGTTCCATGTGCTGGGGATACAGTCATTAGAAACAAGCAAACAACAATAAAAAAAAAAGCAAGAAATGCACCAGCCTGTTCCAGGTAAGCTACTGAAAACTAACGAAGCAAAAGGGAAGCGAGTACTGTAATGAAGTGTGTGATGATGGCTGGAGGGACGCAGGTGGCTGGTGTGGAAAAGCAAGTCAATGCTCACGGTAGAATCTAGGTGGTGTTCACTGTGAAATCTTCCAACTTTACGTGTGAAAACTTCTATGGTAAAATATTGTGGAAGAAAGGGATAGGCGTGATAAGGAAGGTGGGAATTGGGGAAGAGTTCATGGAGGATGTGGCATTCTCATCCTTCTCTGCCGCTTGTCAGCGATGGGTCCAGACTCCAGCAGGCCTGACGTGGGCTATAAAGGCAGCGCCCTGCAAAGGCCCTTGAGGCCGGTCGCATCACTCTGGTGGAGGGAAGACTTTGGGGAGGAGAGGCCGACTCCGGAATCAGCGAAAACCCACCCTCCCCACAGCCTCCGGGGAAGGCAGCTCCTAGTTCACCTCTCCCAGACGCCTGCCTCCGGGCACCGGGCAGCCCATCTCCTTAGCTTAGTTTCCTGTCTGAACTTCCGTGAAGGATGGTTTTGGATGGGGGCCTGAGATAATTCACAAGTGAAAAGAACATTTGGGTTTCCTAATACTCTTAATTTTCTTTTCTTTTTTTTTTCCAAAATGGTTCTGAACTTAAGGTAATTTCCTAAGTTTTCAGAGAATGCTGTTGACTTAAGTCCCCTTTTAGACTGTAGGACCCCCGTCAGCCCACTGATCCCAGTTTTCTAGGTTCACAGGCTGGAAGCTACCAGTCTGGCCTCTCCCTTGGGCCCCAACAAAAGTTCCGAGAGCCTTTCAGGGGCCTTTTCTCTCTGAGCACTTTATCATGGCGTAGGCTGTGCCAGGCGCTATTCTAAAAACTGTAAATATAATAATTCACTTAATGCAACAACCCTAGCATGTAATTGCCATTATTATTCCCCTGTAAGAGAGAACACCCAGGCCCAGTGAGATTGAGTAACTTGCTCAAGCAATTGCCGAAATCTGACAGCAGAGTGGAGGCCACTGTGAGTCACCAGCAGACACTGTCTAACGCAGTAGGCCCATCTCTGAAAAACCAGTTCAATTAAAGCCATTAATGGGTCAACGCGGCATTAAGTATTAATGTTTCCACAAACGTTTGTTCACTCCACAGGAACCTCAGTATTTGGGATTTCAAACTGGTTTAAAAGGGCGCAGATGTTGGGGGGGGCGCCCCTCAAATAACCCTTGTTTAGGGAGATGCCTGTTGAGGATGGCGTTTGGGGGTTTCCGAGAGAGGAAACGTCTAAAGCCAGCGGCTGACATATTTTGGCCATCGGGCGGGGAAAAAAATTCTCCTATTCGGAAAACACAGGTTTCAGCCCGGATAACGGGCACATGACATTAACGCTTTTGTTTCATCTCCATCGCTCAGGCTCGTCCTAATTGTGCCTCTGAAACCCGGGGCTTGCCCTCCCCGAGCCGATCCGCCCTTCCAGCCTCTTATCCGTTTGGAACTAGGTCGGGCACAGCAAGCTACGACGCGGCGCGCCCGGCTCTCTCTCCCGGGCCCGCCCAAGGTCGCGCGCGGGGCAGGGTTGGCGGCCGGGCGGGCGGGGGTCGGGCGCGCACCTTTGCCGACCCCGCGGGCGGGCGG